TGCACATCTGTACACATTTTGGGTGCTTGTGTTCTGTATGATCATCTGTGTACATGTGTGTCTGTCCACTTGTCCATCAGTGCTGCCTCCCACACTGTCCCACACATGTCCTGCCTGTGCCTGAGCTGACAGACCAAGCTCTCAAGCTTAAAGCTGTGCCCAGCCTGTCCCCATCGGCTTCTGCTAGCTTGCACCAACCTTCCAACATGCCTCTGCTCTGTACACGCCCTCTGCATGGGACACAAGCATCCATCCGTTCTGACCCGGCCCCACACAGGGCCCCAGGCTGGGCCAGGCATCCTCTCTGCTCACCTACATTTGCTCTGTGGTCCACATCTCTCCTCTGTCCAGTGGATGCTGCACGGGCTCATCCAGAGCTAGCTACTCAGTAATGGAAGGCTAGACAGGTGGACAGACAGATGGAGGGATGGAACTATGAATGGGTAAATGGACAAATGGAAAGACAGATGTGTGGATAGATGACTGCACCACAGATGAACAGATGAATGAATGATGGAGGGAGGGAAAAAGTGAAGCATGGATGGCAGGTGGGTGGACGCTTAGTGAATGGAGGGTTCGGTGAGCGGGTAAACAGGTTAGTGGATGGCGGATAAATCGATGTGTGGACGGATGAATGGTTGGACACATAGATGGATAGCTGCATGGGGGGGGATAAACAATGGAGGAAGAATGTGAAGAACAGCTGAAGGATAGATGCACGATGGTGATATGATGGCTAGATGGACCGTGTGTTGATGCTTGGGTTAGTGGATGGTGAATGAATAGCTGAGCGAGTAGTTGGATAAATAGTTACATATTTTTGTCAATGGAGGGACGAATGAGTGATAGATACGTAGATGGATAGATGATGGGTGAGTGGATGGGTGAGTGGGTGAGTGGACAGGTAGATTAACAGATGAGTTTTTGGATGAAAGGACGGAAGGGTAAGTGGATGGGTGGATGGATGGATAGATAAATGGGTAGGTGAGTGGATGGATGTGTGGATAAACTTATGACTAGATGGATGAGTGGATGGATGGATGGATGGATGGATGGATGTGTGGATGGATGGATGGATGGATGGATGGATGGATGGATGGATGGATGTGTGGATGGATGGATGGATGGATGGATGGATGGATAAATGGGTAGGTGAGTGGATAGATGGATGAGTGGATGGATGGATAGATGTGTGGATGGATGGATGGATGGATGGATGGATGGATGGATGGATGGATGAGTGGATGGATGGGTGGATGGATGGATGGATGGATGGATGGATGGATGAATGGATGGATGGATAAGTAGCTGGATGAATGGGTAGCCAGACAAGTGAATGGACAGCTGTATAGATGGTGGAGAGGTGAACTGGGGGTGGGTGGGGCAGATGGATGCGAGATTTGTGTGTGGATGGACAGACTTCTCTCCCAAGTGCAGTTCATGGCAGAACTGCGGTGAGGTAGCCGGTGCAGTAAAGAGGAAGGCCTGGCAGCTGGGTTAGTGGATAGATGGGTGGTGAATGGACGGCTTAGTGAGCAGTTGAGTAAGTAGATAATAGGAGATCTTGGAAAGCCCTTGGATGTTGAATGCAAACCCCACTTCATGGGAAAGGAGGCTGAGCAGGACTAGAACAGCTTCTGCCGTGGCTGGCACTGAGGAGACCCTCCCATCTGGGGGCCCACGGAATGGGGCAGCCATTACCACAATGGGAGCTCACCTAAGACTAAGATACAGCCTTGGGGAAGCTGGGAGGAAGCATCCTGGGGAAGCAGGTGGCTCCAGCGGACCTGTACAGACACCTCTGTCTCCCGGAAGGTGCCAGCTCCCCTCCAAGGCCACTGGACAGCACCACCATCACCATCTTCCCGAAGGAAATCCGCACATTCTTCATTCACTTCAGGAAGCAGTGACAGACCACTGACCACCCCACAGAGCAAGCACGCAGAGCTGCCTGGCACGCCGGGGAGGGCCGGGCATGCCAGGGAGGGCCGGGCACGCCGGGGAGGGCCAGGCACGCCAGGAAACGCCAGGCACACTGAGGGGGTCAGGCACTCCAGAGAGGGTCAGGCACCAGCTCACGGAAACTGCCAGTCAGACTCGGTGTCACGTTGGAGCACTTGTTCTTAATTTTTTAAATAAAGTTTAAATTACAGTCTAGTCGTTTCCACCATTGGAGAAGCCCTCCGACTTACAGGTGTGTTGTCTTCACACACATGTGCACACGTGCTTTCCTTCACCTGTACACAGGTGTGTGCAGGTGCATCGTCCTTCACCTCCACACGCTCAGGCATGAACACCTCCATCCCCCGCTCCACCCCGCTCAGGCCCTTTGCTGCAGTCACTGTTTCGGTCCCTCTCGTGGAAGATCCTCTCACTCTGACCTTGCAGCTTTCCAGCATGAAGTCCTCCTCCCAGGACTGATCGCTCCTGACCACATGCCCTGAATATGTGAGACAGCTTCGCCATCCTCACCTGTAATGAACTCCAGGCCGCGCTTCCTTAAAGGCACACGTGTTTGTTCTTCCGGCAGTCCGTGGGATGTCAGCATTCATCAACACACAACTCAAAACGATGATGCTCTTTTGCAGGGGTGGAGGGGGGTTATTCATTATTCAACTTCTACCTGCACATGAATCAATTTAAAATACTATTAATTTGGACAGATGTACCTTAGTCTTCAAAATTATGTCTTGGCTCTCTAGCACTCCAAAGAGATCTTTGACTGCAGATTTTTCTCAATGCAGCGCATGGTTTCATTATCTGGCTGCTGCTTCCATGGGTATTAATTGGGGAGGACCTGGGGTATTTGCTGCAGAAGGTCAAGAACTGCAGCCTTTAATATGGACTGAAGCTCAACATCAAGGAAACAAAGATTCTCATCACTTGGCTAATTAACAGTATCATGATAGACAGTGAAGAGATTGAGATTGTTAACAGCTTCAACTTGCTTGGTTCCACAATCTACGCTTTTGGTGCCAGCAGCCAGGAAGTCAAAAGACAGATTGTGTTGAGGAAGTCTGCTATCAGGGACCTCTCCAGAGTACCGAAAAGCAACGATGTCAGTATAGAGATTAAGGTGTGCCTGATCCAAGCCAATTTGTAATTACTTGCTATGCATCAGAGAGTTGAACAGTAACTAAGGATGACAAAAGAATCAATACCTTTGAGTTGTGGTGCTGGAGAAGAGTATTGAACATACCGTGGACTGCCAAGAGAACAAACCGATCTGTCCTGGAGAGGGTGAAACCAAGCTGCTCCTTAGAGGCAAGGATTTTGAAGCTTTCTCACATACTTTGGATCTGTTGCCATAAGGGACCTATCCTTGGAGAAAAATACTTGGAAGGGTGGAAGGGCAGCGCAAGAGAGGAAGATTCAGGATGAGACAAATTGACTCAGTGCCTGGGGTAATGGGGTTAGGCATGTTGGAAACAATTCAGAGTTGTTGTACATAGAGTCACTATGAGTCACAAGTGACCCAATGGCACATAACAACAACAGGCAAAATTAAATCACTGATATCAGTCTTCTCTCCATTTATGATGCTGTCCATTACTGGGGAGAATTTTGTTTTCTTTACACAGTGGTGTAATCTGTACTGAAGGCTGTAGTATTTGGTCTTCCTCAATGAACACTTCCCATCCTCTCCACCTTCAGCCAGGAGAGCTGTGTCATCTGTATGACTCAGACTGTTGGTGAGTCTTTGTCCAGTCCTGATGCCACATTCTTCTTCATGAAGTCCAACTCCTCTTGGGGGCGGGGGAGGGGGGTAATTATTATTAATGTTAATGAAAATTTACAGAGACTTTGAATTTCCATTCATTCACTGTTGTACTTTTCTCCTTGCCCACCCCTTCCCCTATTCCCTCTTATCTTTGAAAAGTAAAAGTTCTTTCATTGTTATACAGTCCCTCCCACTCCACTATGCAGCCTTCATTCTGTACTCCTGTCATGACAATAATACCTAATCATATATCTCTTTTAAACAGCTCTCTCCCTCATCTATTTCAATGCAGTATACATAGTTTATCCCATCTTTCTCAGTCTTCCCTGCAGCCCCTATGTCAGTCCCATTCTACAACAGTGGCACCATGCAGTATTTGTCCTTTTGTGACTGAGATATTTCAGCATAATGTCCTCCAGGGTCACCCATTTTGAATAATATTGCATGAGTTCCGTGTTTTTTAATGCAGTGTAGTAGTATTCCATTATGTGAATATACCACAGCTTCTCTATCCATTCGTTTGTTGATGGGCACTTAGGTTGTTTCCAACTCCTTGCTATTGTGAACAAAGCCGCAATATACATGGGTGTGCATGTATCTGCTTGGATGTCAGTTATGGTCTCTTTAGGGTATATTCACAGTAGAATTGCTGGATCATATGGTATTTCTATTTGCAACTTCTTGAGAAAGCACCATACTGCCTTCCACAGTGGTTGCACCATTTTACACTCCCACACAGTGTCAGAGTCCCTCTGGCTCCCAGGGTGAAGAATTCCCACCAACATGGTAACAGCACAAAACTGGCCCCAGTGAACTCACTCATGCTCCCTTCATTCCCCCTTGGCTTCTAACAGTTCTACCACCAGCCAGCCCTCCTCACATTCTGCATACCTACTGAGTTCGATAAACACTGAGGTGCACCTGACCCAAGACATGGTCTGTTAAATGGTTTCCTGTGCACCTGGAGGAGGAAGCCAGAAGAATCCGTGCCTGTGAACTGTGGGGTTGGCAGAGGATTGAATATACCATGGGCTGCCAAAATAAGAAGTAAATCTGTTCTAGAGGGAGCAGCCAGAGCGCCCCTTAGAGGCCAAGGTGGCAACGCTTTGTCTCCCTGACTTTGAGCATATTCTCATAACCAGTCCTTGAAGAGCGATCTTGCTGGAAAGTCGGGAACTCTGAGAAAGAGAGGA